AGGAATGCATTTTAAAACATATTCATATAGAAAACAGTTATTTTAAATTGTAATAATATTTCACACAATTTTTACTGTATTTGTGATCAAATAAATGCAGCCTTGGTCATCAATATTTTTTTCAAAAACATTACAAATCTTAATAACTCCAAACTTTTACCTGCCAATGCATATGTATAAAAAATATTTTTGTTAGCCATTTCTTCCTAAGGCCTAAAGCATACTCCACACAACATGCAAAGCAACCAAAGCAATGCAAACTTGCTTGTTTATGCACCACTAAACGTGTCAGACAGAAATTATACATTGCTTCAAGTACATACTGCAATTTACATCAGTATCCAAACCGAGAGAAACACTTATGATGGCACTTCACATGAGATTGTTGAGCTGCTCCAGAAACACAATGTGGTTAAATCTATGGATGGAAAGACAAACAAAAATGTTTGTTTTAACGAGTGCAAAGGAAAGATGAAGGCTGTTCTGTTTGCAAGCATCACCTGTAACTGGATACAGAGGCGTAGGAGGAGACGCCGCACACAATGATTTATTTATCCCGCCGCTCCTGATTCGATTGTGTGAGAACCTGAAGAACTCCTGCCACTGATTCCGTTCTGCTCGCTTGGCATAAACTGTCCCACAGCGATTTTTTTGATCATCTAGATTCTAGACTTTGTGTTGTGGGATCTTTTCATTTTAATACAGAAGTTTAATGAAGCTTTACACGAACTCATTCTCTTTCCTGACTGTTTTTAGTTTGCATTCTCTGATACGAATATATATTGGTACACTTTATAACAGAGTTCCATTTGCTCACATTAGTTACAATACTTAAATCTTAATGTTAATCTCTACATTTACTAATACATTTTTAAGATCAATAGCTGCATCTGTTAACGCAGTTAATGCACTGTGAACTAACATGAACAATTTTATTATCTAACACATTATATAACAAAGATGAATAAATTCTGCAAAAATATATTGCTATAGTTAATGCATTAAAGGAATGGTTAACCCAAAAAGGAAAATTAGCTTAACATATATTCATCCTGCAGGCCATCCAAGATGTAGATGAGGTTGTTTCTTAACATTCCATCACTTGCTCACCAGTGGATCCTCTGTAGTGAATGGGTGCCGTCTTTAACTTTAAACCATTGCTTCTGAGTCCATAATCCATAATATTGCTTCCTCCCATGAAAAAAAAGTCGTCTCACCTGAATCAGGAGAGAAATCTGCATAGATCAAGTACTGATTACAAGCCAAAAACAGCTCTAAACAAATATGTGGGTGGATTTTGATGTGAGAGACAACAGGAGATGGACTTTTCC